GTGTGATGCCATCATGTCAATATGGACCAAAATCTCTGAGGAATGCTTCCAGCACCTTGTTGAATCTATGCCACGAAGAATTGAGGCGTTTCTGAAGGCAAAAGGGGGTCCAACCCGTTACTAGCGTGGTGTACCTAATAAAGTGGCCGGTGAGTATATATTGACAGAAATCGGCCCAACTTCAGCAAGTTTTGAATTTAGCAGCCCTGAGTAACTGAGTTTGACATCCCTGTTCTAATGTAATCTGACAGAAGAATAATCTAACAAATTAATCATTTATTCAGTAAATAATTATAATGTGAAATATCAAAGAGGCTGAACCAAACTATCCTGAACGTTAAAGATACCTTTCAGTAAAAATTTACAATTTAACTCAGATTCTTACCTTGGTGGCTGTTTGACGTCATCCTTGACGGGTGGGTCAGGTGGTCCGGTCCAAACAATCCAGCAAGCGAGCTCCTGGTTGGGTTTGTGTTTTTATTTTTTTATTTATTTATTTTTATTATTTATTTTTTTCAGAACAAATGTGAGTGTGTTTGTAATGCTGTTGTGGTTTACAGGCGCTGGTGCAGTTCTGCCTGAACTGTGGACGTCTGGAAGTGTGTGTTCAAACGTGAGCTCGGTCTGACCCAATCCTCTGCAGAGCCAAACAAGAAACTGGTAGCAGATGTCCAGCAGCAGCAGCCAACCTCCATTTGCCTAATGACTCAGCTGCTCCAATCAAAGTGGAATGTTGCTTTTTAGCAACAGTTCAAGCCTATCAGACAAAGGAAGAAAGAACATTGTCACTTATATGTCTTCATAAATACAGCAAAAGTACTGTAAAACAAAAAAAACAACATAAAATTAGATCTTTACTCAGCTGCTGAGGGATAAATGGTTTTAAGAGTAAAGAATGATGATGGGTTCAGGCTTTTAGTGTCACTGCAAGTATTTATTGAATAATCAAATTTTGCTGAAATTAGCACAAATACCTTGCAACACAATATGATGCATTACACTATAATTGATGAAGTTAATGAAAAATATCATATATTGGAAATTTACATATTTACAAAAATACTGACAAGTGTAACCCAGTAACCCAAAATGTGTAATTTTCAACCATGAAGCCAATGTCAGAAAACTTTTGGTCATTTTCCTTAAATCATTTGACTTTTGAGTTTAATTTTCCTGATAATTGTTAGACTAGAAAATCATGGAAAAGCAAAAAAATAAAATTAAAATACTTCATTTGTGTTCAAACGGTACTGTTTTTCATAGTGGATGCTGTTTTGACTCAATAAGCAATTAATCAGCAACAAGTTTCAGTTACAAAAGTCTTTATGAGAGCAAACGAGTTTTATGATACTGGAGAGTTTTTTTTTTTTCTCTAAAGTTTATTCATTTCATTTCATTTAAAAACAAAACAAATTTTACATACAAAAAGTACAATTCTAAAATAAAATGAAAAGCAGCAGAAAGAAGAAAAACATCTTATAATATCTGCCCCTGTTTAAGAAAAGAAGATAAGCAATAGTCTTTAAGTAACAAAAACAAAACAAAAACAACAATAATCCTCCTGGAACAAAAACGTGTATGAGTACACATTATTCTTTTTCATATTTCTTCAACAAACCAATTTTAATCATTCTCTTAAACATAAACATTGATGTGGAATTTTTAACCACACTTTCCAGATAATTCCATAATCTTATTACCTGAATTGACGTGCATCGTTCCTTCAAACTGGTTTGAAATTAAAGTTTCACAAACATCTCAACCCCTTTAAGATTATAACAAAATTTAAGTGGATATTTAGAAGTAATATGTTTTTATGTGCCTTATACATAATTTGCAAAATACTATAATCAACCAACTCATGAAATTTCAATAATTTCAACTAACAAAACAATATATTTGATGGGTGACTGTAAAGTTTTCTGTTTATAATTCTTACAGCTCTTTTCTGTAAAATGAAAATGGGATTTGTAATTGTTTCACATGCTTTCCCCCAGATTTCTATACAATAAACTAGGTGCGGAACAACTAATGCTTTATACAACATACACAGAGCTTCATCATTAAATAACTCTCTTACTTTATATAATACTGCAATAGATTTTGCTATTTTTATTCTTAAATTATCTATATGAGCTCTCCATGTCAGCTTTTCATCTATGATAACACCCAGAAACTTTACCTCACTGACTCTACAAATTTCAACACCACCAACTTTCAATAGAACATMAATATTAGGGCTGCAATGATTAAACGATTGACGACTAATCGATTATTAAAATAATCGATGACTAATTTAATAATTGATTAATCGTTTTCTTTTTTTTTTCTTTACTTTGTTTTTCTCTCCAAACTGCTTTGACACCTTCCACTGCCACATCTGCCTTTCTGTCCTTGACACACATGCACAGTAGTGGTA